ACACCAGCTCCACGTCGACTGGCCGAGTGTCATGGAGAAGCATCGCAAACTTATGCAACGCGACGCCAGATTGCGCGCCGCCGGCGGGCCCGTCAGCAGCGGACGCCCACCCCCATGGTCCGCTGCAGCCAAGGAAGCTGAAAAGGCAGCCCCGCCGGCCCAGTGGACAGGGGCATCCAGCTCAGGCTCGTCTTGGCGCGCATGGCAGTCCTGGGGCGCATGGGGGCACCAAGGGAACACATGTGCCGACGCGGACTGGAAGGCGAAGGGCAAGCGCTACTCCCCCAGAGGAGAACCCCAATACGCTGACAAGCGCTTGCGGGGGTCGGGCACCCGACCCAGGTGACGGGGGCGCACCATGGATCCACACTGGCCCCGGCCATCCCCCCCAGGCGTGAGGAGCGATGCAGCGCTCGCCGACATGGCCACCACCTCTAGTGCTGCCTGCAACGGTAGCTCAGACTACCTCCCCCCCCTCCCTTCACGGCGCGCGCCGCAACCCACCTCCCCACTAAGTTTCACCCGCAGCGCCCGGCACCTGCCGCAATTCCCCGTGCTACCTCCTTTGGGGGCGGAGGAGCACCAACACCCTTGCGCTGCGCGTTTAGACAACCCACGCTGGTCTCGTGGACAGTGCAGCACCCATTACGTGCCACCCTCGCGGGGGCGAGGGGCGCCTGCGCGCGTCACCGATAGACAACCCACGCTAGAGACGTGGACCTTGCCAGGGCCTTCACCCCTGCTGCCATCGCTGCATAGGGGTGTTGCCACGGCCTCCGCTACGGAGGCGGCCGCCAGCATAGACTCTTGGGCCGTCCGCGCTTGGCAGGGCCGCCCACTTTGGGCGACAGTGACCGGTGGCTGAAATTACCCACCCACTGCGTTCCACCCTATCTGGCACTGTGTACGACAGTGATCGGGGCAACCTGCTACCGCGCTGCCAGCGCAGTCCCAGACGCCCCACGGGCCAGGGGGCCTTCGGTGCTTCCCCTCCGGGGCAACCCACTTTGGACGACAGGGGCTGGTGGCTGAAATTACCCACCCACTGCGTTCCACCCTATCTGGCACTGTGCACGACAGTGATCGGGGCAACCTGCTACCGCACTGCCATCGCAGTCCCCGACGCCCCATGGGCCAGGGGGCCTTCGGTGCTTCCCCTCCGGGGCAACCCACTTTGGACGACAGGGGCTGGTGGCTGAAATAACCCACCTCCTGCGCTCCACCTCTTCCAATAGATTATTGTGCGACAGCAGGTGGGAGTCGAAGCGCCGCTCCACCCGCAATCTCTCATGCCCACGTGGTGTGGGAGCTCCTCGCGTGGACGTTCGGGATCGCGCGCAGCGTTCAGCGGCCTCTGGCTGCGCCCCCTTGTCCTCATCATTCACTTTGGCTCTGCGGCTTTTGGCTGCGCCCCCGCCGGGCTCATTCGCAGGTCTCTGCGGCTCTTGGCTGCGCCCCCCATCCTGTTCGCCAGGATTGCGCCGGCCCCCGCGTCTCTGGCGATTGGGCTCACCCCCGGCGCCTTGGACTGTGTTGGGTCCTCTCCTCCTCCTCCTCCTCCTCCTCCTCCTCCTCCTCCTCCTCCTCCTCCTCCTCTTCCTCCTCCCCCTCCCGCCCTTGACTCGGTAGTTTCTGCGGCTCTTGGCTGCGCCCCCTCGCGAAGTGTGTTATGGTTGAAGAAGTGTTTCCGCTTTGGTTTGGGCCATGCGTGGATGCCCAGGGCACAGCACCCGTGCCCAGCGGCGCCAGGATGCACCCCCATGTTCATTCACATGTCTCTGCGGCTCTTGGCTGCGCCCCCGGCGTTGTGAAAGGGGCATCGCGACTGGTGAGCTGACAGCGTCGACCACCCCAGCGGGTCAGCACACTGACCCGCGAACAGGCTTCCGGCGACGTGCCAGCGGACAGGTGGCTGCTCACCTCGGCGCAGCCGCGCGCCCTGCCCGCGCCAAGACACCACGGTGGTGATCCCCTAGGCTCTCTGGGCGGATATGATGTGGTTGCTGGCGATCGGCCGGCCGCCAGCCCGCATACGCTGTCGCGTTGACGCTTTGGAGCGGGAGCAGCCCTTCCCCGTGGACACCGCCTCAACGGCAGGCAGTGCCACCCCCGCCTGCGTATCGCCTTGATCCACTTGGCACGGCTCATGGCGCTACCACAGGGACGTCGCTTTGGCTTCGTGTAAGATGGGGATAGGCGTGTTCTCTAACCTCGCTTCCGGTGCTACCTGATGACGGGCCTGGCAAGGGAGCGTTCCTGCACGAGTGGTTTATCCTTCGGCATGTCATGGCTGCTCCCCGAGCTGGCCCGTCTCGCATTTGCCTCTGTCAGAGCTTGCAACGTCGTGCCCCCGATCTGCGAGAATCGGATACGCTGTGTACGCAATGGCTACAGGCTGGAAGTCGCGTTACCTCATGTTCGCTGACTGGGTCTCCCTCGCTCCCGTGTCCAGGGGCAGGCATGCCCGAGGTCTGCGACAGTGAGTCATGGTGAGTGAGGCCCCCCTCTGCGCCGCCTGCCCTTCTCTTTCTGTCGTTGGGTGCCCGTCTGGCGTCCGCCGCGGCTCTCCCGCTTTCCTCCTCGCCTCGCTTCCGTGTGTCTCGGCCGGAGTTTGGCGCCGACAGGGCGACTTCCCCGCGCTGCTACAGTGCACGCGGCTAGCCGTACAGCTGTTGCCGTCGGTCGCCGCGTCGTGCGGTGCGACTTCCACGCGCTGTTCGCAGTTACTGCGGCACGTCGCGGCGTGGCGTCTCCACCCGTCGGGACGTCCACAGCGGTTTCGCCGTTCTCAATTAGGGTCATGTGTCCCTTGCATCACTTCTAATGAGGGTCATTTTGTCCCTCGCACGTGCACTCGCCTTTGCAGCCTACGCGCTGCTTTGGCCAATTATCTACGGCATGTGCCCCAGCCGTTTATCCTGCTTCCTGACACTTGTCTTGGAGCCGCCGACCAAAAAGTATCCCCACCAGTGTCCCCCGCCCGTGGCCCCGGGGCTCGCCTGACGCTGCACTTGCGTCGGTGCTGAGACCCCCCCTCCCTGTTCCGGCCGTGGTCCGTGCTGCTCGTGGTCCTGCTCAGCACCCTCAGCGACGGCTATCATGGCCCAGGAGGGGCACGTGGTGTGTGTTGGCGCTAGGGCCCAGGGGAAGCGCAATGCGACGGTCTGGGTGTGGCTGGCCGCCTCAGCTTCACGGCAGCGGGCTCCCCCAGGCAGGCAGCGCAGCCGACGCCACCACCACGCGTGCCGCTCCCCACCCTTTCTCTTCATCCGTCGGCGATGCTCCCCACGCCAGCGGAGTTCCTCTCTTCATGAGTCGGCACCGTGCAGTCGCGCTTTGGGTCACAGTCGCTCGGCTTCCCCCCCACACTGTGACGCGGAACGCTGAGGACTGGGCGCTGAGTGGTTCAGCCTACAACGCCTGTACAGCCTTCGGCCCCTACCAGCTGTCGCGCACTGTTTTCTGGTCTCGACCGCTCAGCCGCTCGGCTTGTGCAGGTCGGCCGCGGAAGTCTGGCGCCGCATCGGCGACTCACTTCGGGGCATTCTCATTTTCACTGTGCACGGCGGCGTGCCCACTGTGGTAAGGGCTTCCGTGCCTCCGTCAGTCTGCCTCACGAATTCTGGTCATTTTGTTCAGTGCGCGCGCAGGTGCGAGCTGTCAGTCCGCCGACTCTGGCTGGCGGCGAATTGTCTTGCAAATTAGCCTCGCCTGTGGCCCAGACGTCGCCTCCGCTCCCTGACCGTTGTCTCGGGGCCGCTGACTAAACAAGTATCCCCACCAGCCCATCCAGAAACGACGCCCAGGCGAGTTGAGGTGATCAGGGAAGTGCGGCAGCAAAGAGGAGGACGGCCGAACCGTGCAAAGGAGTGAGGAGGAGAAGGAGGAGGTGGATAGATGGATGGATGAGGGAGTGGGAAGAATGATGATGAAAATGATGAGGAGGAGGCGGAGGAGGAGGAGGAGGAGGAGGAGGAGGAGGAGGATGAGGAGGAGGAAGAGAAGGAGTAGGAGCAGGAAGGAGGACCAAGAGGAGGAGGAGGAGGAGGAGGGCAAACACAGGGGCCAGAGGTCTCTTGGATGCCTGTCGGAGTATCTCTTGGGCGATTCTTGGTGGCCTCTTGGGACGTTTTGGGGGGTCTCTTGGCGATCCTGGGGGGCTCTTCGGGGTCTTGGGTGCCTCGGGGGGGGGGGCCTCTTGGGGCCGCTTAGGGTCTTCTTGGGGGCCTCCTGGGGGCCTCTTGGGGGCCTCGTGGGGCCATCTTGGGGCCATCTTGGGACCTCTTGGGGCCTCCTGGGCGCTTCTTGAGGCCATCTTGGAGGAGATCGGTCAACGAAGGGGGGTCCCTCAATTAAGGTCCCCCCCAGGAGGCCAACATGGGGCCAAAACCAGCGTACCATCAATGAGTTTGGCTCCTCGCCGAGGCCGTTTTGGACGCTCTAACTACCCGCGGCGTCCCCCGTCCAGGTCCACGGGGAGTGGGTAGAGGGAGGTGAAACCCCTCCCCGAAGGGGAAGAGGGAGGGGTGGAAGAGAAAACGCCCTAAACCACCGACGCCCAGAGGGCTGGTGGGATTATTATGGTGATGTTGAAACTGATGAACATTATGATTATGGTGATGCTGATGCTGATGATGCTGATGCTGATGATGCTGATGCTGTTGAAGATGCATGATGGTGGTGATGCAAATGGTGTTTATGATGATGACCATGTTGGTAGGGGTTGGTGATGATTGCGATGGCGGCGACGACGACGATCGCTTTGACGACGATGTTGTTGGTGGTGGTTGTGTCGATGCTGTTGATGGTGGTTGCGGCGGGCTCATGAGGATGAGGACGGAGGAACGGGAAGCGTGTGAAGGGGCAGGAGGGGGAGGAGGAATCGGAGGAGGAGGAGGCGGAGGAGGAGGAGGAGGAAAAAGAAGAGGAGGAGGAAGAGAATGGGGAGGGGGAGGAAGAGGAGGAGGGATTCTGATAATTTTGTGCCCGCCGCCAGCGAGGGAGTTCGTGCAGCTCTCTGCCCCCGTCAGCTCCGAACTGTGATGCCCAGCCTGCGCAGGGATGGACGGGACCCGACTGCGTTGCGGCCCATCATGGTCGAGGCATGCGGAGGCGGACGAGGGAGGGACGGGGAGGTAAGGGACGGGATGTGTGTGGGGAAGGGGATGGGATGTGAATCGTGTATGACACGATCAGCGTAGAGAGAGTTTGTCTCGTCTTTGCTATGGTTGCTTGTCTTGCACACGTTGATATACATAGCCATTTTGGAGCATGCTACGATCGCAGCTAGGGGACTCTGGAGAACACAGTGCGTCGCCGAGACCGGTGAGCAATATCACACGGACATCACATCTGCACTGACATTGGTAGCGGAGCCGTGGCTCCGAGAGCTGCGGCTTGGCACGCAATGGCTGGGATCTCCGCTGCACCTGCGCTGCGCGCCGACATGGCCATCCCAACCTGGAACAGGAAGGCCGAGACGCTGGAGGACTACGCCATTGCGGTGGAGCTGCTGACGCTGGGCTCGTCCAAGGGGGTCAGGCCGCTGCTGGGACCTCGACTGGTGGCCTCGCTGCCGCAGGGGTCCGCACAGCAGCGCTTCGCTCTCCGACTGCCGCGAGAGGCTGGCCTCGACATGGACGGAGCCCCGCTGGAACCGAAACCGATCGCCATCGCGGACGGCCCCAACAACTTGGTAGAGGCCTTTCGGAGGGAGTTCGGGACTCAGATGATGTCCGACATCGGCAAGAAAACGGACGCGTACTTCTATGCTGGGCCGGGTCGGAGTGCATTGACTCGGCGACAAGGACAGAGTATGGCCCATTGAATTGAGACCGAGGAGAAAGCGTATGATCAGCTACAGCGGGCGTGCAAGTTGCTGGTACCAGACGTGGGAGACATACTGCCCAGTGCAGTACGGGAGTTCTCCTATGGCGCAACAGCAACCTAGACCCCTCGGAGAGAACTGTGGTGAGCAGCGCCATCAGAGGGAGACCGGAAGCGCGAGAATGTGAGGAGACGCCTGCGAGATGCGTGGGCGGAAAACGAACTAGACGTGCGGGACAAGAAGATGAAGCAGGGCTCACACCGCGCGGCCCACCACACCGACGAGATCCACTGGCAGACGTACGAGGAGCAGGGGAACGACTACGAGCTGCCGCCAGACGAGTGCGTCCAGGCCGACGAGGAGGACGTAGCAGCGATGGAAGTGCACGAGGCCCTGGCTGCACAGGAGGCGGACGCGGCGACCCGCACCTGGGAGCAGGCCCAGAAGCTGATCAGCGAGGTCTCCAGGGCCCGCGGCTACTACCCGGTCGTGGGCCTGGCCGCCCTGCCGCCGACCCGGAAAGGGGACGGGCAAGGGCAGGCAGAGGGGGCCCAAGGGCCGAGGCCGATGCGACAAGGGTGCGCCGCCGCCTCCGAAAGCCCCTTCAGACCAGGCTCGTGATCAAGGCCGAGCGGGGCGACCTCAGCAGGGTCGCGGGGCAAGCATGAAGTGCCCCCTCTGCCAGCAGCTGGGGCACAAGGCCGTGGACTGCCCCTCTAGGTGCCAGGCGGGGGGCGGCGGCAACCGGAACATGAACGTCGGCCTCGAGGATGTTGACGACGAGGTGGTGGACGAGGCGACCGTCTCCTGCGTATCCCACTGGGGGGGGGGGGCGAAGACAAGTGGGTCCTGGCCATCTCTCTGAACATCGCGCTGGGCCTCAGCTTCTTCGCGGAGGCGGACCTCCGAGGCATCGCGATCGTGGACCGTGGAGCCACCAAATCCATGAGCGGGCTGGCCCTGTTCGCGTTCGCGCGAGAGCAGATCCACGACGCGTGCGGCCAGGACTTGACGGAGATGAACACTCAGGAGCGGACTCGCTTCACCTATGCCAACAACACGACGGGCATGCGCGTCGGGAGAGGGGGCATTCCCCACCCGATGGGGCTGCGAGATCGCGGGGGCAAGCTCTGGTTCTCGCTCGTGCCCTCCGAGAGTCCGATGCTGCTGGGCCTGGACTACCTGAAGGAGGCGGAGGCGAACGTGACTCACGACGGTTACCTGGAGTACTCGGACGGGCACCGTGAGAGGCTAGAGCCCCTGCGCTCTGGCCGCCGGGGCCTGCCGCTCCTCTAGGGGCGGCGACTGCGCCTGGAGCGAGCGGCGCCGAGTGACAGTGCCAAGGTCCCTGAGGGAAAAGAAAGTCCGCCATTGGCCCCTGCCGTCGTCTTAGAAGCAACGGCCACGCCGACGGTTGGCACATCAGTCTCATCACCACCACCATCTAAGCCATCGAAGACAGGAGTGGACACGCCTGGATAAACACCGACCCGAGCGAGTACCCTCGCGAGTTCATCGACGCGAGCGAGTGCGCTCTCGAGTCCACCGACACTGCTATCGAGATCGATTTCGAGATCAAAACCTCAGTTCCCGACGATGCCATCTCGAAACCTGGGTTCATCATCGTGTCCGTTGCCATGTGGGCTCGAGAGCGAGACGATTCTTCGGGGCGCTCCATATCCGCATGCCGAAGGGCAGAGCAACCAGCGAGGAGAGCGATTCGGAGTGGGGGGCGCTGGGCAGGCACCCGCCCGCAGATGAGGCGCCTTCCTCCTTTGCCGGGCCTGCCTGCTCACTGCCACCAGCCTCGCTGCGCCCTGGGTCCACCAGGCCGACGCCGAGCGTGGAGTCGCGGGCGACAGCGGAGGCGGGTCACGCATCGGAGGAGTACTACCTTTCGCCCGTGGAGTTGTACTACGACGCGCTGGAACAGGTCTGCGACCTCCTGGCGGAGTCGGACCCCCAGGCGAACCCCGAGCAGGTGGCCCACGTCTGCATGGAGATGGCCCGGTCTGCGGCGCACGAGGAGGCGGCGCTCCGGTCGAAGCTCGGCAGCCTCGAGGGGCGCTGGGCGGAGCTCGCAGAGCAGGAGTGCATGCGCCCTCGCATCGACCGAGCGGTCGAGTACCTGAAGACCGTGGCCCCCCAGGAGCCGCGGCCAGTGCCGCAGGTGCAGAACAGCCGCCGCCGCTGCGCCGATGGGGGCCGGCGAGCCTTCGAAGGGGGGCCCAGCGGGGACTTCTCGGGCTGCTCAGGCCACGACGGGGCCAGGTCACCACTGGCAGCGCATGGTGGCCCTCGCCCAGGACGGGAAGAAGTGGCGTTCCCGTGGCCACATCCTCAACTGCGGCAGGAACGGCCCCCCGAAGTCCGTGGGCGGCCCGGCGATGGGGGCTGGGGAAGCGCCTGGGCTCGGTGGGGCTGGCGAGAAATCCGCCCTTGCTGGCGAAGGCTCAGAGCGTCGCAGAGAAGCGCGAATTGGTCGCCCAGCTGCAGAGCTACCAGGCGGTGCTGAAGGATGACCTGCTTGCGATACTGAGGCCATCGTAGCTGGACTTGTTCTAGATCGGGTGCCCGGAGGACTCGCCCCCGGGCCAGGCCATGGCGGGGGCGGTCGGCGCCGTCTACCGCGTGGGCCTCTGGAACAAGTGCGACTTCCAGGGGGCCAGCGCGGTGGCGAAGGCCAGAACCTTCATCGAGGCGAGAAGGCCTCGGCGCGCCCACGCATCGCCGCCACGCACGCCGTGCTCTATCTTGCAAGCCTTGATCCAGAAGAGCGACCAGCAGATCGCGAGCCTGAGGGGGGATATTGCCTGGGGTACCGAAGTCATGGGCAACGTGATCGAGGTCGGCCTGCGCGCGCTGCGCCTGAATTGCGAGCTCGGCCTCGAGCGCCCCGCGAACGCCACCGGCTGGAGGGCCGCCCAGTCGCTGATGAACCTTTGGAAGCAGCTGTGCGAGGTTACCGCAGCGGGATGCGCCTGGGGCATGCGGGACAACGAGGCGGGCCAGGCCGCGCACAAGAACTGGGGGTTCCTGGTGCCCAACCAGCGGGCAGCTGAGGTTCTTGAACGGAAATGCCTTCGATATCACGCGCGCCGTCAGCTGAGGGGGTCGAAGCGGGCAGCGGGCTCCGCCGAGTGCCCGGGCGCGCTGTGCCGCGCGCTCAACCGGGAGGTGCTGGCCCGCGCCCTGGCGTCTGGGATCACCGCCGGCGCGAGTGAGATCGAGGGCGCGCTGAAGGAGCTGACCGCGGGGCACGCCGACCGGGCCGAGGCCCTGGCCATCGAGGAGGGGGCCGAGACGGAGGGCCCGACGGGCGAGTTGAGGAAGTCGGTGCGTCTCAGGCCATCGTCTACACTCGCAGCTGGGATATCCTGGAGCTCGGGCGTTCAGGGGGTCTTTCCGACGACGACGGGCGCTCGGCTGGGTGCGACGGGGGGCCGGGGAGCTGAAGTGCGCGGCCCGTGAACGGTTTCAGAAGCAACCGATGCGCCCCGCGGCGTCGGGGGGGCTGGCGGACCCGCTAGACGTGCTCGCGATGGACGGGTTCGACGGGGCCCATCCACTGTCGGGGGCCCGGGCGCGCGGCATGCCACTAGTGGGCGAGGGCAGCGCGAAGGCGGTGGCCCGCGCGCGTGCCGCGCAACGTGATGGAGGTGGATGTGGCGACGTCAACGCGGACGGGGCCTGGGGCACCTTCGTGCGCTGTTGGGCTCAGTGCTTCGGACGCCCCCCACAGATCTATTCTCCCTCCCAGCAGGGGAGCACGGGGCCCACGTGATTTTGGAGAGGGCCGCCCAATACGATATTCAGTGGGAGTCAGAGCCTGGGGGGGCACGCTGGAGGACTGGTAAGGCGGGGCCCATCACCATGCTGGTGAAGAACGCGGCCACGAAGCTTGCCTACCTGGAACCGACGCGCAGCATCGACGAGCTCTTCGCGTGGGCGGCGGCCGCCCGCGACGAGATGCCGAGCAGCTCCGGCCTCGGCCCAGACCAGATCGTCCTCGGGCGACGACTGAGGCCTCTGGACAGCGCGCTGATGGGATCGGCGGTTCCACTGCAGGAGGAGGCTCGCTCAGGTTCCGCCGCGGAAGAGGCTATGCGACGGCGCCCCTTGGCACGCGCGGCCTACGCCGAGAGTTTGGCAGACCGTTGGGCCCGACTGACCGCGCTTAGAGGCTGGAGCTTCTGATGCTACTTAAGTTTAGCACTGAGTACCTCAAGTAACTTAGGCTACTTATCGTTGCATGTTAGTGCTACTTACTAAGCT